GGCGCGCGCTGAGCGCGCTGCTGCTTGCCAGCTTCCACCCGGCTACCGAGGGCGAGCCGCGGCTGAGGCAGTGCCTGTCCGTCTTCTTCGACGTCTTGGCGGCATCAGGCGACCCCGACCACCTCAGGGCCCTCGCGGCCGCGGCTCTGCCCGCCGCGCGCGCCGCACACGCGCTCGGCGGCGCCCGCGCGGCCGCGGCGCGGCAGCCGGCGCCGGCGCTGCTGCGGTTCGTGCTGCAGCTGCTGCAGCAGGGCGGCGGCAGCGGTGGCGGCGGGGCTGGGGATGCTGGGGAGGGGCAGGAGGACGACGATGATGCCGCTGACAGCGCCAACGCGAGGCCCCAGCGCCGACGGGCAGCTCAGCAGGCAGAGGGGCAGCAGCGTGGCGGCAGCGGCGGCGGCGAGGACTGGGGCGCGGCGGCGTTTGCCCAGCAGCTGCTAACTGAGGCGGAGCACGTGTGGCGGCTGCTGCTGTCGAGGGGCGTGCAGCCGGCGCGCAACAGGCCGTATGCGGTCGCTTTGCTGGAGGTGCGGGGGAAGGGATGTGACAAGCATCGTGTGTGCTTCAAAGCATGCGTGTGTATATTTGTGTGATTGTCTGCACATGTGTGTGTGTGTGTGTGTGTAGTTGTGTGTGAGCGTGTTGGTGCAGCTGATGGGGCAGGCAGGGGGCTCAAACCTTGGCGGCTCCAAAACAGCACCACCAACGGGCTATACAGGCCGCGAGCGGCCCCGGCCGCCCCGCGCGGCCCGCGCCCTGCGGCCAGCATGCAGCCGCCGCCCTGCTGAACACACATGCCGTGCATCGGCGCGGCGACCTGCCACCGGACAGCCACGTTTGCACCTCCTAGTCGCCTCGCGAGGGCCGGCCTCTGCAGATCTTGCCGGACAGCCATCTAAGGTAACCCCGATTTTGAAAATTCCCAGCTTCCGCCGCCGCCGCCACTCCCACTCCCTCTCCCCCCCACTCCCAGGTGGTCGCCGGCCTCCCACTCGCGCCTGGTTGCCCGGGCCTGGGGGTCGTGCATGTCATGGCCCAGCGCCTGTCAGACCAGTGCGCCCCGGACGCCGCACTGTCCAAGGCCGCCGCCGCTCTGCTGCAGCGGCTGCCCCCAGCGGCAACCGTCGGTGTCGACGGGGCGGCGGCGGGGGCGGCGGCGGGCGACCTGGGGGATCTGGAGGAAGTCATCGGGCAGCTGCGGGGCATGTGCCTTTCGATGGAGCCCGCGCTGGCTGGGGCAGAGGGCGCTGGCGCGTCCGCGGCAGGGGCAGCATTGGCGGCGACGCCGGCGGCGGCCGCGAAATCCGGGCGTGGGGGGGCCACTGCGCGGCGTGGGCGTGGGGCCTCGGGCCGGGGCGGCGGCAAGGCAACGTTGGCGGCGCGGGTGGCGGCGCAGGCAGCGAACTCGGATGGCGATGAGGCCGCGCCGAGCAGCGCCGCAGCTGCCGGGTCGGTGGGGACGGGCGCGCGGCGGCTGCCGCAGCGGTCGACGCGCAGCAAGGGGCGGTCCCTGGTGGGGGTGCTGCTGTCATCCTCCTCCTCCAGCAGCGGGGATGATGACGCCGATGACGTCACCATGGACGACGATGACGTCACGGCCCCGCGGCGCGGCGGCGGCGCCGGCGCGCCCGGGCCGCCCGCGGTGGCGGCGAGCAAGCCGTCCGTCGCCGCAAGGATCGGCGGCGCCCGGCGTGTAGCGGTGGCAGCCCCGCCCGCCCCGCCGCCGCCCGCGGGCCCCCGAAGCGCTGCGGGCGACGAGTGGCCGGGCGTGATTCAGACCGAGGAGGAGGAGGAGGAGGAGGAGGAGCAAGAAGGGCCGGGCGTTATTTCAACCGAGGAGGAGGAGGAGCAAGAAGGGCCGGGCGTGATTCAGACCGAGGAGGAGGAGGAGGAGGAGGAGCAAGAAGGGCCAGGCTTTATTCAGACCGAGGAGGAGGAGGAAGAGGACAGCCGCTCATCCCCTGAGGTGGGCCCCGCGCCGTCTCCGAGGCTGGCACCGCGCCGGGCGCGGCGTAGCGGGGGCCCGCGGGGGGCTGGCGCCGCGTCGCCGCTGGAGGGGCTGCAGCAACAGGGCGAGGAGGAGCAGGCGGAGGAGGAGGGAGAGGAGGAGGAGGACGGTTGGGTGTCAGCTGAGGAGGCGGAGGAGGCGGAAGACGGCAGCTCCAGCCCAGTTTGGGGCCAGGAGGAAGCAGTCCCCACGCATGAGAAGCGCGCCTCGCACACGCCCTCGCTGGCGCCCGCCGCCGCGCGCCAGCCGCTCGGCGCCAGCGCGGCGGCCAACGCCTCGCGCCCGGCCGCGCCGCCGCCGCGGTGGGGCGGCGGCGGCACGGTGGGGCCGGCGCGGAAGGCGGCGCTTTCGGTGGGGGGCGGCGCGCGGCGAGTGACGGTCGAGGTGCGGTCTGACAGCGGCGAAGACGAGTGACCCACTTGCCCGCCAATCACGTCGGAACCGGCTGGCAAGATGCGCTTTCACAAGCCATCCCGACGCTCCAGCGCAACCGAAAGGCCCCGCGGGTGCCGGGGCCACCTGCGCTGTGTGCGTGCTACTAATTCTGACTCAGCGTGTTGAATGGCCCAGCGGTGCGCTGCGAGCACAGAAGCCTACACCACATGTGACAAGATATAAGTGTGCGACTTGCCTGACGAATGACCTAGTTGCAAGCAGCCAATATCCGTGTGTGTGCAGGCATGGGGGCAATCCGCACGCCCTCGTGACCGCCGCAGCTGCTGGTGTTCTGTGGTGCAATCCGATCTAGCGAAGGATGGTTCTCCGGGTGTGACGCCTGGCCGTTCTTGCGGCGGGCCCACGGGTGCCGTGACGACGCGCCACCTGTTTTCAGGAACACCTATTCGGCGCCCGCTGACGCATGGATGGCCCCGCCTATCAGGTCGTATGCTCGGTCTTTGAACGGGCAATGTAAAACGCCTACCCTGCCGCCTCACTATTGCTGCGCCCCTGTCTAGGTCATTTCTTAGTAAAAATCCCCGAAGGCTGTCAACATTTGCGTGCTGCTCTTCTTGTTTTGTGGCTTTTACTTGTTTGGTTTGGCAAAGCTGAAAGGAACCCGCTGCGCAACTCAGCAGCCAGATTCCTTTCTCTGTCCCAGGCACACACGGGGGCGGCATGCAGACCAGACAGGAAGCAGGCAGGCAAAGATACAGGCCAGGGCCTTGCCCTGGCAGACACCCGCAAAAGTGGCCAAAACACCACTGCTGAGGGGGAGAAACACGCCTTGCAGCGCAATGCGCAGGCCATGGTGCGCCCATTTCTTCTGTCTCGAGGCCCCGGCTTCGTCAGCGCCGCCGCGCCCTGGCCAGGCCGAACGCCGCGCCGCAGCAGACCGCCACAGCCGCCGCGCCGCCCCAGCGCACCAGCGAGCGCAGCCGCGAGCCGCGACACCGCGTGGCCTTGGCTGCCGCGGGCAGCTCAGCCGCCGCATGAGCCACCACCGTGGGCTGCTGCTCCTCCTGCTCCTCCTGCTCCTCCTGCTCCTCCAACTGCTGCTCCTCCTGCTGCTCTTCATCCAAGGCAACAGCGGCCGCCGCCATCACCCGAGCGCGCGCCGCCGCCGCCTCCTGCCGCAGTGCAGCGATCTCGCGCGCCTGCTCCTCCACCCTCTCCCGCAGCAGCCGCGCCTCTGCCTCCCTCTCCCCCAGCTGCTGCTGCAGCCGCTGCACCTGCCCTTCCGCCTGCTGCCTGGCCAGGCCCTTGTCCACCTGGTGCACCGTGACCAAGGCCTGGCCCAGCTGCGCCATCACAGGCGCCGGCAGCAGCGCCTGGTGCGCACCGGGGGCCAGCAGCGTGCTCGCGGCGCCCTGCGTCGCCTCGCAGAGGGCCGCCACGTCGTCGCACTCCAGCGGGGCGGCCGCCGCAACCGCCGCCGCCGCGTCCGCCGCGGCCTCTGCGCCTGCCCAGGGCGGCGGGGCGCCCGCCGCAAGCGCTGCCAACTGCGCGGCGCCCAGCACCGCGCCCACGCGGCGCGACACGGCCACGGGCGTCGCCGCGCCGTCGCCAAAGGCAGCCGCTGTCAGGCCCGCGGCACTGAGCGCCGCGGGCATGCGCGAACGCACCAGGGCCTGGCGCTCGGCCGCCACCGCGTCGACACTGGAGCCATCCGCGGGCGGGGGCATGCTTGCCAGAGCCGTCAGCAGGAGGAAGGACGGCAGGGCGACACCGCCGCCGTCGCGGCCGCATCCGGCGCTCTCCGTTGCCTGTAGCTGCTGCGGCGCGGCGGCTGCAGCTACGAACATGACATCGCCAACGCTCCGCCCCCAGACACGCGCGTCCTTCACAATGTGCAGAGCGGCGCTGCCGCCGGCGGCGATGCCGTCCACCACCGTCGCGGCGAGGGCATCCATGATCGGCGCATCAAACGCCGCGGCGACGGGGCTCGACGTGGTGTCGACGGCGTCAAAAGCAGCGGCACGCGCGACCTCGGCGGGCTGCAGGGCGGCGGCCAAGTCATTGGCGTATGCATAGGGATCAGCCAGCAGCGCCGTGCTGGTGAGGCAAATGCCAAAGTTGGTCTCGGGCGGCTGTGCAGCTGCCACGGAGGCAGCAGGCAGGGCCGCCGCAGCCTGAGCAGACGGCAGCTGGACGGCGCAGGACGAAAGGCGACCGCCCGCGCCCAGGGGGCCGGGAGCGCCCTCGTCGTCGCACGCGGCGGCGCCCGCCCCGCTGCCGGTGCTGCTGCGGCGACCCAAGCCGCTGCTGGCGCTGCTGAGGCGGCTGGCGCCGCTGCCCCAGCGAAACGGCCCCAAGCGGCGCGCGTCAGTGGGGGAGTCGGGCGTGCCGGGGCCGTCACCGCCACTGCAG